AAAAAAAAAAAAAAAAAAAAAATTTAAAGGTCTAATAAAACAATCACATAAAGGAGGAAGAGAAAGGAATTAAATGGCATGACAGAAGTTCAACAAACTGGCAGGCACAGTGGCTCATGCCTATAATCCTAGAATTCTGGGAGGCCAGGTAGGTGGATAGCTTGAATTCAGGAGTTCAAGACCAGCCTGAGCAACACTGAGACCCTCATCTTTACTAAAAATAGAAATATGAGTTGGATATTGTCATGGGCACCTGTAGTCCCAGCTACTCGAGAGACTGAGGCAATAGAATCACTTGTGCCCTAAAGTTTGAAGTTGCTGTAAGCTATGATGCCATGGCACTCTACCAAGGAAAGATATTTTGCTGGGCATGGATTACATGCCTGTAATCCTAGTACTCTGGGAGTCCAAGGTGGGTGGATTGCCTGAGCTCTGGATTTGGAGACCAGCTTGAGCAAGAGCATGACCTTGTCTCTAAAAATAGCCAAGCACTTGAGCCCAAGAGTCTGAGGTTGCTGTGAGCTATGACACCAGAGCACTTTACTGAGGGTGACAAAGCAAGACTGTGTCTTAGGGAAAAAAAAAGATATCTCCACTTTTAAATTTATTTTATTTCACTATTCATGATAGCCAAGATATGAAATCAACCTAACTATCTATGAACAGATGAATAGATAAAGAAATTGTGGTATGTATACACAATAGAATATTATATAGCCACAAAAAATGAATGAAATCCTGCCATTTGCAACAACATAGATGAAACTGGGGAACATTGTGTTAAGTGTAATAAGCCAAGCACAGAAAGACAAATCTCACATGTTTTCACTCATATGTGGGAGCTTAATATTAAAACAATTGATCTCATGGAGACAGAGAGTATGTGATAGTTACCAGAATCCTGGGAGGGCAGCAGGGAGGTGGGGATAAAGTGAGGATAATTAATGGGTATAAAAATAGAGCTAAATAGATAGAATGAATAATATTTGATAGCACAACAAAATGACTATAATCAACAATAAGTTAGGGTATACTTTTTTTTTTTTTTGGTTTTGAGACAGAGTCGCACTTTGTCACTCTCAGTAGAGTGCTATGGCATCATAGCTCACAGCAACCTCAAATTTTTGGGCTCAAGCAATTCTCTTGCCTCTGCCTCCCGAGTAGCTGGGATTACAGGGGCCCATCACAAAGCCCAGCTTTTTTTTTTTTTTTGTAGAGACAGAGTCTCACTTCATTGCCCTCAGTAGAGTGCCATTGCATCACAGTTCACAGTAACCTCCAGCTCTTGGGCTTAGGCAATTCTCTTGCCTCAGCCTCCTGAGTAGCTGGGACTACAGGCACCCACCATAACACCCGGCTATGTTTTTGTTGCAGTTTGGCCGGGGCCAGGTTTGAACCCACCACGCTCAGTATATGGGGCCAGCACCCTACTCACTGAGCCACAAGTGCCACCCAAAGCCCAGCTATTTTTAGAGACAGGGTCTCACTCCTGCTCAGGCTTGTCTGGAACCTGTGAGCTCAAGCAATCTACCTGACTCGGCCTCCCAGAGTACTAGGATTACAGGGGTGAGCCACTATGCCTGGCCTCTAGGGTGTGCTTTAAAATAACTGAAAGAATGGAATTGGAATGTTCATAA